TCCATCAGCTCTTATAGCACAAGAGCAGTGCCCCACAAGCAAACCTCTTCTCTCCTACGCCATCTCCAGAGTTGAGGCCCAGATGAGAAACAGCCTTATCTTCCAATATTGCAAGGATACACCTCTAGGATCAAACCTTGGCAATTTGACCTAAAGCCATCCTTACTTGCAAAACAAAGTCTCCATCATCTTCAGTGCAAGAAGGAAAGAGAGTGAGAGCGAAAACAGGGGTGGGGGTAGGGGGAAAAGTCCAGTCCTCTCTGACCTGATTGGAAACTTTGTTGTGGCAAAAAGGAAAAAAAAAAAAAAAAAAAAATCTCTTTGGCCAGTTGAGAAAGTGCCTATGGTTGCTCTTGTATTGGGAGGGTCTGTTCAGGGTTTCTCAATCTTCTTTACTCTCTCTCTCCCCCCTCTCTTTCTCCCCTTCTCTTGTTTCAAAAGGGGCCTCTGGTCAGCGCTGATTAATAAGTGTTTTTTGTTGTGAAGTGTTGAATAATAGAAGATGGCCAGTGACCCAGGAAAGACTAAACCTTGTGCTACTTTATTGTGGCAAGCTGAGAAAGGGGCTTTAGGACAGAGACCCCAAGCACTGACCCGCACACATCCTGCGGATTCCCTATTCATTCTCACAGCCTTCCAGTCGCCCAGAGCTCCCATTGTTTGCCAAGCAACAATGGAGATTTTGCACAGAAAGTAAAGCTCTCTTCAGATTCCTCCCTGATGTTTTGCATTTGGGGAAACAACCATCCTTAACGTGGGTTTTTTTCCCTGAACTGAATTTCATGAAAACTCCTAGGATTTGGGCTTTTATTCTCATTGCTCAAGACTTTCTATACAAATATAAGAAAACAAATATTTTCTGTTTTTTTTTTTTAATTACACAACATATTTTTCCTGGGGTACCGCTTCCCTAGCGATTTAAGGGAAAAAATTAGGTTTCTTTTATTTCTTAGCATATCACTATGCTTTAATGCACACCACATATCGCTGTAGTTCCTAAAAATAACTGTATTCAAGCATCCTCTTTTTTGAGTGGGAGCCAACTGGAGAGGGCTGCTCCTTTCCAAAAAAAAAAAAAAAAAAGCAGAAGATTGAAATCTCTTGGTTTATTTCTGCCTTGATTAGGCAAGCCTAGCTTTTATCTCCTCACAGGCTGGCCTCTTCCCCACGCTCCAAACAAAGAGTTCATCCACTGCCACCAAGGAGGGCAAATGCCACTCCATAGACTTGCTCCGATTTACCTGTAGGGCCCAAACCACATTTCTCATTCTAACATAGGCATTTATTTGCACTCTAACCATGTGGATAAATAACTTTTGCAGCTGTCGAGCCTTTGGGTAGGAACACGGCTAGATGGATCAGAGGCCTCAGGATCACAGAGTTTTGTTTAATTGCTTTCTCTGGCCTGTTATACACGGATTTCCATTCCTCTATGGCATCCACTTACACATGTCACCAAGCAGCTAGGAGGTTCAGGTGTTTGGTTGTGCCCTGTGTTTGCAGGTTTTGTGTCTTGTGAATTTACTAAGCGTAAAAAAAAAAAAAAAAAAAAAAAAAAAAAAAAAAAGAAAGGAAAAATAAAAGAGATTGAAAAAAAGAGCAGGAGGAGGTTGCAATCAATAGGACAAATTCCTGTTAAATTGCCAAGAATGGGATTTCTTCCCCCTCAGTTATTTGAATTTATAACTGACTGAACATTTTTATCAGGACCATTGCTTTCCCTTGGTGTTTACACCTGCATAGGAAGGTCTAGAAATCCACCCTTTGGAGGTGAGGGAGAAAAGACCAGTCTGTCAGAGAAACCTTTAACAACTGAAGGGGGAACAACAGTCTTTATTAAGGATATTGGGTAGCAGAATTACCTTGGCGGGGGCGGGAGGCGTTGTAAAACATCCATTTGCAAAAGGCTTTCAGGCTGAAACCCTTTCATCGGTGGCGAGGGGAGGGGGAGGGCAGGGCGGGGGCTCGCAACCCCCCAGCTATCTCCATTTGTCAGCGCCACAGAGGAGGGGTCGTAAAGGCAGCGGTGTGGAGGGGTGGGCTGCCCGGTGGTCCGCCAGCCCCGCACGCCCCCGGGGCTCGTTTCCAAAGCGGGACGCGGCCACAAGTGCGATGAGCTCGGCGGGCTCAGCCCGGAGCCTGCCGCAGCCCCGGGGACCCCAGCTTTTCACTTTCATGCCCACCACGTCCACTTAAAACGTTAGGAAGGGGAGAAAGTGGGGGGGGGAGGAGGGGGAGAAGGCAAGCGCCCTGATGTATTGTTCCCCCGCCGAATTGATATGCTAATTCCCCTTGTGAGGGCATCACAAAGAACACCTTGCACTTCTGAAAGACTTTTGTGTCCTGGCCGGAGAAGTTTATTATCAACTAATTAGCAACAACTTCTAGCAATGAGTTGGGTTACATTTTCATAAGCTTTGAACAAACATCCTGAGCCGCGTTGTGTCAGGATGATGGGCTTGCTAAGGAAAATAGAGTCCTAAATCAGGGAACGAGCTTTAATAATTAGCGCCTGCTATATATGGAGCCTCTGTCGACGTAGGGCTTCTTCCGAGGCTTTTGATTCACGTTGCTTCCAGGCTTGCAAAGGACCACGACAAGCACTCTACAAAACAAAATCTTACTCAGGGATGACTAGCCATTTTTTCCCTCGTATTAAGGCTCTTCTCTGGCAGGCGAAGAGCGTTTGAGACTACCCCGATAATGCACCAAGGATAGCCAGTATATGGAGAAGCTCAAGACAATTAAGCATATTCATATTAAACATCATTTAGAGAGGCTTGTTGTAGGCAGTCTAGAGCTTCAAATATAAAAAATCGTCTGGAGGAAGGGAAGTTTATATTTGAAATGACAAAAAGAAAACACCTTTAGATTTCACAGGTTTGGGGATTTTGGAGGGGTTTATTTTTAATTCCATGTTACTCGTGTTACATTCTCTCCAAAGGAAGAACTGGTCTCAGAGCTAGGTTAGCTCAGTCCTCTTTCTGCAGAGTGCTTGTATCTTTGGAAGCAAAAGGGTATGCTGTTTCCTTGGTTTAAAGTGAAACTAGGGAAAAACAAGAGGACTTTATTTTTATCACTGTAGTATGTGCTAGCTATTTTCTTCTTGGCTTTATGCAATCTGAATAGAGCAGAAACAATCCTCTGAAGCTAAGGACATTCAAAGGTTTACTGATAATTCTTATTGACTGGAAACAACGTATTGCAGCTTCAGGTTATATTGTGGGGTTCTGCCTTTTGAGGTGGGGGATTTGGTGGGGGGAAGGTGTGTCATGTTGCAGTTTAAATCAGTACTAGATTGATTTTGCAGTTTATCTGTGGATCCCCAGCGCGGCCTTCCCGCAGCTGCCCTGGTCCTGAGAGCGCTGAGGAAGCTGCGGAGCCTTGGGCCCACTCAGGTCCGGTGGGGATGGGGATGCAGGAGAAAGCAGCTCGGCCGTGGCTGCTTTTGCAATTCACCTTATCCTCTGCTATTCAATTCTTTTAATGGGTAAACACGCTCTCCGTCACTCGGTCTCTTTCTGTCCCCTTCTCCAAGCGATTTCATTTGTTTAAAATCCTAAAAGGTGGTATAAAGTCTTATTGAAACCCCGTAACGTAAGGGGTGGGAGTGGATTAGATTCCTTCATTTCCTTTCGGTAATCCTAAATGCAGCTATCTCTGGTTCCTTAATCTCCTCTAGAGTCGGATTACCACCCATTTGAGCAAGCGCAGCTGGAATTAGGAGATGACAAGGAAGCAAAGAAAGTGCCAAGAGCTCCTGAGGTGACCGAGATGTCAGGGTGGCCCTGGTCCCCCCCGCAGCCCCCCTGGGGTCCCCCCCACCCCCCCTCACCCCCCTCCCAGTGCTCCCGGCCTCTGGGCAGCGGGGGGTGGCGGGGGGCGGCCCTGGGCCGAGCGGTGCCCACCGGCCCCCGGCGCAGACCTGCCTTTCTTCTCGCTGGAGCTCCACATGGGACAGGGCCACCGCTGGGTCGCTTTGGCACTTCATTTGCCTCAAGACAGGCTTCTGCCAGCCCCGCGGGTTTCAGCCTTCAGCATGGTCAGGCTAGCCACACTCTGTCATACACGAATATGTGTATATTTATATATATATACATACGCAGATGGATAAAAATAAAATTTATGTATGCTTCTGTCTATGGATATATACACACACACACACGTGGATGTTCCTGCCTAGGCTAGAAGAAAGAAACAACATAAAATAGCCACTGAGACACAGAACAAGTACAACCTTGCTTATGCTTTTCTTTGCCCGCCTGGAAAAAAGTAACCCCGCATGAAAACACATGTATGTGTGTGCGGTTACTTTTTTAAACAATCCCTCATATTTGATTGAAATGGAATACGCCATCATGTATATTTAAGATTAAAGCTTTATTTTTAAAGGCCTGTAATCCTTTCAAGGAGATTTTGTTGATATAAGACTTCATTGGAAAGTAATTGTGGATTGTACAGCTCTGACCTTTGCAGGAAGCAGGGAGCAGGTCTGCACAGACGAGAAACACTCTGCATCAATTTCTTGTGAAGCCCCTGCAGACCAGCTGAGCACGCACACAAGTTCAGGACTTTATTTAAAAGGTTACAATTAGTGGTCCAGTCGTCAAAGTTGGGGACGTGGTATTTTTATATGGAGTGCAATATCTGATTTAATTATACTTTTAAAAGAAAGAAAGAAACAAACAAAAAACCTCACAAACTAACCCCCCCCCCCAAAAAAAAAAAAAAAAAAAAGAAAAAACAAATTAAGGACAGGCCTGCTACACAAATTGGAGGCAGCTAAATGCTCTTTTGTGCCTGCAGCTCTAAGGAGGCTGTGATGCATGCGAAGGAAAGTGACTGACTTAACTCATTGGGATTCAGGGAACGACCTGCCCTCTTTTGAAAAAAAAAAAAAAAAAAAAAAAAAAAAAAAAAGGAAGAAAAGTAAGTGTGTGTGCGTGTTCGTGATCGTGTGTGTGTGTGTGTGTGTGTGTGTGTGTGAGAGAGAGAGAGAGAGAGAGAGAGAGAGAGAGAGAGAGAAGAGGGGGAGACTCACACAGAGACCTGCTTTCCTGAGCTGAGCTGCTGGTTCCCAAGCAGAAAGTATTAGGAGAAACACAGCATCTTGTCTCTTTGCTGCATTTACACAATGAAATCACTTCTATTTTTATTCCTGCTCACCGGCCGTTTTTGCTTGCATCCACTCCGAGCCGTGGACGATGGGAACAACCAAGTACTTAAAAACAAACAGACAAAAAACAAAAGAGGAAAAGAAAAAAAAAACAACAAACAAACAAACAAAAAAAACAGAAACAAAAACAAACAAACAACAAACAAACCCAACCAGGCTGGGATGAGGATTACTCACTTTAGCGCTGGCTGTAAGTACAAAATCTCTTGCTGCATTTCAGAGCGATAGTGAGAGGCTGTTACGGTTTAGGTTGGGATTGTTCGGGTTTGGTTTGGTCCTTTGTTGTTCTCCTTTTTTTTTTTTTTTTTTTTTTTTTTTTTTTTTAATATCATTCCCTCCTTATCAATCTTCTGCCGAGTTACTTGGATAAGAAAATAAAACCCCCCCCAAAGGGTGGGAGAGCGGCGGGCGGCTGATGCCGAGCGCGGCGCAGCGGCTGGGCAGCAGCCGGGGGGCGCGGAGCTCCCGCGGGCGCGGAGGAATGCCAGGTGCCGGCGGTGCGGGGGGGGCTGAGGGCTGCTTCCCACATCAAGTTGTGGGTTTAGCTGGGCCGAAACCGCATTTTTCTGGCACGGGGGACGTGCGCGCCTCTGTGTGTGTGTGTGTGTGTGTGTACACACGTCCTCAGGCAGCGCGGTCCTGCTCGGGTCCCTGCGGTGCAACGGGAGTCCGCCCAGCTTGAAGGAATGCGGTGGTCAAAACAGCTTTCCAGCTGGCTTGGTTTTTTGGGCTTCCTCCCTCCCCCCCGCACCCCTCCACCCCCCACCCCCCTCCCCAAGTGTACATGTGATAGTGGTACTTTTCCCCGGCAGGATTTGATTTAAATAAACTAAGATCAAAACTGTCTCCTGCTCGCCTAGCCTAGTCGCTTTTCTCCCCCTCCCCTTCCTCCTTTCTTTCTTTATTTCTGTGTGAGCGCTCCTGGGAAAGCGGATCGGTTAGAGGGGAAGGCTTTTGAAATCGTGGGGGAAAATGTAAGAGAATTCAGAGGGTCCGGGCTTTCTTTGTGTGGTGCTGAAGCCGCGGAGCTGCTTTGTGCTTTGGAAGGAGAAAATGGCGAGTCCTATTGTGTTTAGGCCATTTTCTTCCGGTACAAGGGTTTCCCCCCAAATCCTAAATACTTCAGGGCTCTTTTGAAAGAAGTCTCCCAGCCCACGAAGTGTGAATGGCTACAGCTCTGCCTTTTCCCCAGCCGGTAGGACCTCACATTTGAGAGAGCCCGCACATTTCTCCTTGCAGAGCTAGTGCACAATTTCTAAAGCTGCTGCATTCAGAGCCGCTTGCATCGGAGCGGCTATTTCAGCTGGTTTTAGCCCGCCGTTATTCAATTCAGGGGAGCAGGTTATGAGAAGGCGGGGGGGGGGGGGGGGGGGGGGGGGGGGGGGAGGGGAGGGGGGGCAGCCTAAGCAATAATAATCTGGGACCTGTCCTTGCTTTAAAATGCTAAGAAGGAGCAACGTTAGCCAACTGGGGGTGGGGGATCATCTGAGAAAAGACTCGTGGACAGCTGAGCGACGGTCGGACTTGTCCACTAAATTCTTTAAACTTTATGTGTGTGTGAGAGTGCATGCATTTGCGTGTGTGTGTAGCCACATAGCAAGAAAGAACTTCAGGCGTGGAAAGAGGTCATATATACGGAACATGAGATTTTAGAGCATAGCTGACCATTGTGTGCAAGTTATTCCCGCTGCAACTTGCAATGAAAAAAAAAAAAAAAAAACAGTTTGCAATGCTGTCAGTTCTTTTCAGGTCAGCCGGTAGGTAGGTAGGTGCCACTTACTGGCAACCACCGCTGAATTTCCGTGTTAATCCGTTTAAGGAAACAAATGAGAGTCCGAGGTTTAAAGACCGTTGCCCGCTATTAACCACTTTTCATTATAATGTGGGCTTGCCCAGGCGTCAGTGGTTAAAAGCACTTTGAAACAGGCGAGCTATCAAATAAAACCCAAGAAAGGCCAATCCTTCCCCACCACCACCAACACAACACCCCCCCCCCCCCAGCACCTCCTTCCAAGGTGCTGAATTTAAGAAAAAAAGATAATATATTTCTGGTAATAGTAATAATACTACTACTAGGAAGGGGCGGGGGGGGGGGGGGGGGGGGTTGGAAGGGCCCTGGGGGGAGCCGGCCGGCCGCCTGGGCGCTGGGCGGCGGCGGGCAGCGCGGGCGCGGAGGGGCGCGCAGTGCCGCCCGCACGGCCGCCGGCGGGTCAGGACCATGGACAGGGACGGGGCGCGCCGCTGGGGCCGGGCCGGCGGGCACCCCGCGGAACAAAAAGGGGGTGAGTCGGGTGCCTGCCCCCACAGAACGAGGGGGGCACCGAGCTGGGCTGCCTGTTTTGCTTTCCCGTCGGTGCGGCGGCTCAGGTTCGCACACAAAAGGCTTGAGAAATTACATTTATAATTCTCCTGAGTGAGAGGAGAAACTCATAAAATGCCACGCTAGTGATTTCTTCTCTCACTGTCCGCTAAAGAAGTAAAAGGATCTCTCCATTCTGCAAACGACTGCTTTTTTTTTTTTTTTTCCCTTCAACTCCGAGCCAAAAATAAATCTACTGCTCAGATCGGCTGAATGACAGTGGTGTAAATTAAATTGATTTTATCAGTGACCAAGTTCCACAATTGGAAAAATTAAATGCCACTTTGACAGACAAGGATGATATGGCACAGATCTATAAAACAGCTCCTTTGAACAACAACAGCATCAACCCAACAGGAGCCTAGGTACTGGCAATCCCTTCTTCTGCATCCCGCTTCGTTATGTCACATCATTTAGTTTGCCTTTCTGCGGTACCAAAATGATTGAAACCATTGTCTGAGGTGAAGGGACTAGCGGTGATGAGTCATAGACTTTTTTTGCCACGGCAAAGGCAACAGTCATGGCACCCAGGCAAATTTTTTGTATTATTATTTTTTTTATTTTGATCACGCTTCTAATTGGACTTCCCTTTCAGATGCACTTTGCGGCACTTCCAACCCACCCCACAGCTCCAGAACTGCTATCAGCAAACTCAGGGCTGAGCACTCCGAGAGTGACAAGCCGCTCTGCCTCTACCTAAGGATTGCACAAACGCAACCTCGAAGTCCTTTAGCCAGGGGAAGGAAAGGAAAAAACAAAAACAAAAACAAAAACAACAACAAAAAAACCCCACACCACCAACAACAACAACAAAAAAAAAATAGAAAAAAAACAAACCCAAAACTAGTCCTGTGCCTCCCGCCGGCCCCCCGAGGCGAGAGGAGGCCTTGAGCGACCTCCGCGCTCGCTCCCCGCCGGAGCTCGGCCCGGCTTGCTGTCCCCCCCCGGGGGCCCTGCCTGCCTCAGAGGCACCGCGAACCTGCGGGGCCGTGGGAGTGGGCTGTCCCCGCACGGCCAGCGAGCTGCTCCTGCCCGCTGCCCGCCGCCGGGCCGAGCCGGGCGCTGCGGGCACGAAGCCGGCGGGGGCTCGGAGCCTCCCGGCCCGGTGCAGGGGGGGGCTGGGGGGGGGCGGGGGGGGGGGCGGGCCGGGGGGAGCGGCGGTGCCGCAGTGAGGGGGGAGTCGGCTGCCGAGCGGGGAGGGTGGCCTCTGGGTGAGCCGTGGAGCAGGCTCCTCTTCCTCGCTATGACTGTACAGATTCATGTGACATTGAGGTTGGGGAGGTGGGAGGAAAGGCAGGAGGGGGGGTGGGAGGGGGGGAGGGAGAGGACCCGGAGGGAAGGGGGAGGGTTGAACTTTCTGCCGGGCTCGTCTTTTCACACCTTTCTCCCCCGACGATGCGAGAGGACGTTTAGGGAGAGAGCGGCTCGGCGGGGTCCCCTCCGAGCAGGTCCCCCTCGACCTTGCAGGGACCCGGCCGGGAGGCAGCGGGGCTGGGATTGTGCCGGGTTTCAAGGACACGGGAGATGATCAGGACTTTGGGAGCCAACATCTGCCTGGCTGGTGACGTCAGCAGCCCCGTGTAATCCTCTTGTACTGAAGGCAGATGCCTTATTTGTTTGGCTGGAGAGGCATTAATCCCTAATTCTGGAGCAGCAAGCGAGGGGGAGAGACCGGACCGCTTCCTACCCCCCGAAAGCAGCTAGCGGGGCTCTCCTCCACTCCTGCGCTCCGCGGATCCGACTGGGCAGAGGAGCCGTCAGCCCTCGGCAGGTTTGACCATTTTATTTTTTATTACCATTTTTTAAATATTTGGAGTGGGCTCGTATTTCTTATTTTTATTTGGATGCTTGGATTTCTCCCCATGGATTTCGCTCTTTGCCCTCGTATGCTCTACAAGCTGAGAAAGAAGGGGCAACTGTCGTTCCGCCCCCCTTCCTTTTTTTTTTTTTTTTTTTTAAGTATTTTATTTTTCATTTTAAGCTTTCCCCTGTGCTTGCTCTCCGGGGATTTTTGCAGCGGCGGGCAAGGAGGTTGCTCTCTGTGTTTCCCCGCGGCTGGCCGGTTCCCACCGCGCTGCGGAGACCCAGGTGCCCTCTCGCCCCGGCGCTGCGGTGATGGGCGTTCCGCCTTGTCCCTCCTCGGCCGCGGAGCGAGCAGCCCCAGAGGCTCGGGTCTGGCCGGCCCCAGCTTCGCGTCAATCCGTGTGGCCCCCCTTCCCTTCCTTGCCTTCCTCCCCTTCCCCTTCCCTCCCCGCCCTTCCCCTGCTCTGACTCCCCCCTCTCTCCCTTTTGTCATTGGCAACGGCGCGGCGTGCGGGCTCCCGGCGCCCTTCCTTCCCTCCCCGCCTGCCTTTCCTTCCCTCCCCGCCTGCCTTTCCTTCCCTCCCCGCCTGCCTTTCCTTCCCTCCCCGCCTGCCTTTCCTTCCTTCCCTCCCCGCCTGCCTCTCTAACGCTCTCGCTTTGTCTCTTTTCCAGGCGGCCGCACGCAGGAGCTGCGGTGCCGAGGGCGGAGGGGGGGGGGGGCCGGACCCGCCTGCCCAGTTTGCCCTCGGACGCCCCAGCAAGCCACGGGGAAAAACCCTCCGGAAAGCCCAGCTCGCCGCCGGAATGCGGCCGCCGCCGGCATCCCAGCGCAGCCCGGTTCGCCTCTCCTCTCCCGCCCGGGCCCTGGCGCGGAGGCAGCAGTCGAGGTCAGCCCGCCCGGTTCCCGGGCTCCGGCCGGGGTCGAGTCCGCAGGGCGATGCACGGTGCCCGGCCGCCCCGCTCCTCCCCGGCGTGCCATCCGCACCGAGAAGGAATAGTCCCCGTCCTGAGCCGGGAAAGATGGCAATGAGCTTAGTAATAATAATAAAAAAATCTTAGGCTGATTTTTTTTTTTTTTTTTGCTATTGTTATTATTGTAATGACTTCCACCCCTCATTTCCTCACTCGCCCAGTTCAGCGTAGGCAAGGCCAGATGGGCTGCCCAGACCCTCCCGGGAAAGGGGCAGGTGCGAGTGAGTTACATTTTTTTTTTTTTTTTTTTCCGCTTTACAAAGAAAGATGACACGTCCTGCCCTTTCATTTTTCACTGCCGAAAGACACCCCCCCACCCCCCCCTCTTTCCCCGCCGCCTCGGCCGAGAGGAGCGGGGCTGCTCTGGGGGTGCGGGTGTCCCCCCCCCGCGCTCCAGCGGAGCAGCAGGACCCGGCGGATCGAGGCAGCCGGAGAGACACGGTCCCTCCCAGCCAGGGATGCCAACCCACAGACGTCGAGTCGGGGAGAGACAACTCCTGCGTTTAAAATCACGCGAAGACGTTGGCGAAATTAAAGCAGTCGCCTGGAAGTGTGTAATAAACACACGTTTAATTTCCTTCTTTTTTTTTTTCTTTTTTTTTCTTTTTTTTAATCCGTTAAATACACGTTTAACAGCTTCCTGGGCATTGCAAACAACAAACGGGCTAGTAAGAAAACTCGAGCATGAATTACACGCAGCCCAGGCCAGGATGGGACTAGGGCGGAGGGAAATGACCGTTTTTTGTTTTGGTTTGGTTTGGTTTTTTTTTTGTCTTTTCGGGAATCAGTTGCTATTCTGCTTCCAGAGAGAGAGAGAGAGAGAGAGAGGGAGCGCTCCAAGGCTCTGACTCTCCGTGTTCACAGCGGACCTTGATTTAATGTCATACAATTAAGGCACGCGGTGAATGCCAAGAGCGGATCCTCTAAGGCAGCATGAAAGATTTCGCTAGAACGTAACATAAGAATGTTCATAATAAAAATAATAGCAATAAGTTTAAAATAAATTTTAAAAGAAAAAAAAAAAAAAGGAGAGACGAAGCAATAAAGAGCTCGGCAGCCTGTACTCACCTACGGAAAGCGAGACGGAGCAGGACCGGCGGACTGAACGGCTCAGCCCGGCGGAGAGGAGGTGCCGCTGCCAGGGGATGGGCGCCCGCCGGGGCCGCTGTCAGCTGCAGGTAACGGGGCCGTGGGGGGGTACTGGAGCGGTGCGGTAGCCGTGGTGGTTTCTCAAGGTAGTGGTGACTCGACGTCTCGCTTTCCTGGGCTAAACCATGTAAAGTCGCTTAATGGGAAATAAATACATTTTCGAATATTATCATGGCGAGGATCGTTCTTTGCGCATCGCCCAGCCGGTAGCTAGGAGAAGCTCGCTCGGTAATGGCTGCTCCTCTTGCGGGGCTCCGCTGGAAGCCGAGGAATGCGGGCCCTGGGGCAGCGGAGCGGTGCGCGGGGGGCAGCGGAGCGGTGCGCGGGGGGCAGCGGAGCAGCGTCTGTGCCACGGGCCGGCAGAGCCATGTGCAGCGTTGGTGCACGGGGGGCGGGAAGGATATTTGGGGGGGGGGGGACGACGACGGAGGGGGCACTACAGCCGAGCGAGGTGCGGAGGGGCAGCCTGGATGCGCGAAGAAGAGGAGTGTGCGGAGGTTGCGCGGAGGGGAGGGCGGGGAGGGGAGAGGGGAGCAGCGACTGGGTCCGGGGAATGGGGAGAGCGGCGCAGAGCGGTGCCGGCGGGCAGCGGAGCGGCGGGGGAGGCAGCCGGAGCGGCGTGGGGGCTTTGTGAGCGGGGCCGGGCGGCGGGGCGAGGCGCAGGGCGGCGGTTTAGGGGCGCGGAGCGGGGCGCGGCGGCGGAGCGGGGTGTGCGGGGCAGCTTCCGAGCGGGGGGGGGGGGGGGGAGGGCGTGGGGGGGGGGGGCGTGGGGGGGGAGAGGGGAGGAGGAAGCGGCGGCAGCGCGGCGTGCGCGGGGGCAGGTGCATGCGCGGCCGGGGCACCGGAGACGCGGCTCCGGGGTGAGCGGAGGGTGCAGAGGAGGAGGGGAGGGGGGGGGGCTGGGGGTGGGGAGGGGGGGGGGCGAGATGCCGGGGCCTCCGCGCCGGCTGCCTTTGTTCCGCGGGGCTGCGCCGGCGGCGGAACAAAGGAGCGGAGGGGCCGGGGCCGGCGCTGTCCGTGGTGCTGGTGGCGGGACGGAGCTCCCGCCGCGGGGACCCCCCCCCCCACCCCGCCCCGGGGATCGCCCGCCCCCCGGCCGCGCAGGCACGTCCCGGCGGCACCGGGTGGCCGGAGCGTCGCCGGCAGAAAAAAAAAAAAAAAAAAAAAAAAAAAAAAAAAACGAAAAAAACAAACAAGAAAAAAAACAACAAAACGACATCTCAAAGAGGTGGAAGCGCAGGGGAATGAGCGGCGGGCAGGGCAGCGGCTCGGCCTGCGCGGCTCGCCCCGGCGCTGCCCCCGACGGCGGCCCCGGTGGGTCCCCCGGCCCACCCCCTCCACTCCCCGTCTGAAACCGCCGGGGTCGGAGCGGGTCCCGCAGGGGCTCTGTCCCGGTCCCGACCGGGCTCCATCGGCGGCCTTCTCGGCGGCCTCAGGCTGCACTGCCCTCTCTCAAACGGCGGCCACAGCCAGCGAGGGCAGGGGGTGCTCTCAAACACTAAATAAGGCAAACCAAGTAACAGTAATAACCACAAGAACAATAACGATAACAATACTAGCTGCCCAGAGGTCAGAGGGCTTTGCCCTCTTTCCTCTCACGCTCAGCAGACAGCGCTGGTCGCAGTGTTTTTTTTTTCTTTTTGCCAGAGACTGGACTGCAGATCGGACTGGTCACCCATCTCTGCAAGGGGATGAAGGGGACAATTCCTGCCCTTTCCCCAGCCTCTTGCCTCTTCATCCCCTTGTAATCGTCCTTGCATGGTCCAGCAGACAGATGAAGCACACGGGCTACTCCGTCCTTCCCCTCCAGCTCAGCGAGTTGGGGCTGAGTCTCTCCCGATGCCTTGCCTGCTCCTGCCATGCCGCATAGTTGTTTTAATTTCTTGCTTTGAGATACCTGTACACATGTACACATCTACCTGTGCACAGGGATGCACATTTGTGCGTGTTTATCTGTGCAGCCTCAAATGGTCATACTTTCTATTCATCATCGCTTCTTGCTTATATTTCCTTTGTAAGACCCAGAGCTTCGTAGGATCTCAGGGGAGCCGCGCAGGGAACAGAGAAAAGCCTGTCTTCGCCTGCTCAAGTGTGAGCCAGGATGAGCTGCAGCCGAGATTGACCATTACACAGGTAGAGAGCGGGGAGGGCTTTTAACTGCGATGTGTCCTGAGTGACCTGAAGCACTCAGTTAAACTGTTTGCAGGATTACAAATGTGAGCTGATCGCCTCTGCATCGAGGCATTATGTCCACCACAACTCACTTATTATTTTTCTTCTTGGAAATTGATGCTAAAGATTCACTATAAACATTCTATTATTTCCATAGCAAAAGAAACATAAATGAGTGAACCTGCCACTGCCAACCTCTCAGTGTAGCCTTTAAAATATTTCTTAGCGCTTGGAAAGAAATGGAACTTTCTTTGGAATAGATGGAGCTTTCTTTTGGAAAGCTTCCAGAGAGAGGGGAACCTTGCTGCCTTCTAAACTGCAGTAGCAATAATAACAGTGGTGATGATGATGTAGCACATAAAAAATGGATGCAAGCAAGGTCTGAAGACCCAGGTGATGGACCACGCCATCCAGAGCCCTGCATTTCCCCTTCTGATGTCATATTGCTGCTGCAGGGGTATTGAGGTTCTGGTGGCGGCGTCTGAAAGCAACCCGCGTTTAATATTCATCGCTTCCCTTCCTGCTCTGAAAACGGAACGAAAACCCTGCTCTCAGCAATTTTTTTCCTCGGGGTAGCCTGATTTCTGAGACTAACTCAATCATGGCTTTCCACGGGGAGGAGAGGGGGAGCGCTGCCTGCCAGCCCCCTCTGCAGTCAGAAGCGTTAAGAGACACACACGCACGCACTTTAAAAGAAAGACAAAAAAAAAAAAAAAATTATTATTTTAATTATTTTTCCTTCCTGAAGCGACGCCCGCCCGGAGCTCCGGGAGCGGGGCCCGGCCCCGCCGCCGCCACCGCCGCGCCCCCTGGCGGCCGCGCCCGGCCCCGCGCAGCGCAACCCCCGCGCAGCGCAAACCACCCCCCCCCCCGCGCAGCGCAAACCCCCCCCCCGCGCAGCGCAAACCCCCCTCCCCGCGCAGCGCAAACCCCCTGCACAGCGCAAACACCCCCCCCCCCGCGCAGTGCAGCGCTCCTTCCCCACCTCCGCGGCCGGGGCTCGAGGAACTTCCAAGTACGAACGATAAAGAAGCCACTTTCCGCATCAAAACTAGCTCCGAAACGTTAAATGCACGCCATTCCAAATGTTTTGCACTGTGGGGTGTGAAGAGTTATCTCTTTGCGCCCAGCCAATGGAGATAGAAGCTATCGTGTAAATTCGGTGCTGTAGAATAACAGCTGTGGCACAAAAATACGAAGGGAAACAGGCTGCTACCTGCCCGCTACAGCTGTTGAGACAGCCCGGGGCATCAGCTTCACTTGGGGACAAACAGCCCTACTATAGCAAGGGGCAAGGTTGAGGTATTGCCCAGTTACAGACACAGGCCAGTCCTCTTCAAAAAGTTAAAATGAAGCCTTTAAATTAGCTTGTGCATCAGGCTGATTAAACGCCAACATTTCATTTTGTTTCGCTTGTCCTCCCGTATTCCAGGCGGGGGCTCGGGAAGCTCCAGAGCACAGGTAAGTCAAAGCAAACCCTCCAGCAGAGCGAGCGCTCGCCCGCTGCCTCCGCCCCACGGAGCAGCAGGATCTGCCCCGGCGCCTCCACCCCGAGATGAGAAAAAGCAGAGGGGAAGCAGAGGAGAAACACCGCGCCCGGCGCTCCAGGGCCTGGTGCCCGCCTGCGACAGCCACAGCGCGGGAGAGTGGATGAGCCAGCCAGCAAGGTATGGCTGAATTTCATTTTTACCATCGGCACAAACCTCCTCACGTTTCTTTTGTACGACTTAGCTCCGCTGATACGGGTAAATTACCACAATAACTACGGAGTGAGATAACAGAGATAGAAATTTGCAGTCTAAGTTGAATTAATTCTCTCTTAATCAGGAATTGCTTTAACAGCATGGTGGGTGTTATGAGTACAGCACTTCTTAATATTAAATATTTGTGCGTCTGAAGTAGTCTTAAAGAAATCTGACTAGAGAAGTCCCTTAAACAGGGAAGAAACACAAAATTTGAAACACACTGTTACTATAAAACATCTGAAAATGTAACTTAAGGACAATTTGATTAGCACCAGGAAGCTACCAAATTAAATCCATGTACTGTTCATGCTGAGGTTGGTTTACAATTCGCTGTGTTAAAGTAATTCTGTTTATTAGGCGGTGAAGTATAGGTTGCATGTTAAATAATATTAACTGAAATACACATTTAATACTTGCACAAAAGTACTTGAAATGCAATCTAAGATTGTTAACTCCATCACTAGCAGGTTTGGTGTAAGTGTTCTGTACCAGAAAACACAAGATGAAATACTCTGTTCACAGCAACTAACTAGTGTACATTTAAACCAATCTTAATGAAAGTATCTGGTAAAGGAGCTAGTAAGCAAGGCAATAGCATTAATTCCTTAGTAATTCTAGCAGATAATTACAGAATTTCTTGAAGGCATCTTTACAGTGCTCCGAGCATGGAAGCACCTAACATAGGTAGGTCTTCCCTACTTCAGAGGGTTACGACACCACTGTGATGTCACTTTGCACATCCTGCATAAAAGAGCTGTTCGGTCTTTTCCAAACCTAAAATTTCCTCCGTATACCATTCAGATCTCACAAACTAGATCTATTAGAGGGATTTAAAGTATTCTTGGACCATTTTTTTGCTTTTACCAAGAAAGGTTGGACCAGAGGATCCTTGAGGTCTCATCCAACTTGGTATTCTATGATTTTACGATTTTAAGACTTATGATTTGATTTGCTGCTATCCATCCAGAATATGAGGCAATCAACTGAGAGAATATTTTTTAGTGAGTGCACAGGTCACTGTAAAAAGCTCTTAACTTCACAATTTTGTTTGTCAAACCTAATTAAGAACTTTTTCCTATTTGTTCTTTCTTTAGATTATATACGTTCAGTCTACTAATATTTGTGGATAAAATGAAAAGAGCAGCTGTGACAGGAAAACTAAAGGTACAACCTTTAATTTTTTTACCATGTACACTTCCAGGCAATCTGACAGACTGGGTGAAATCCATTAAAAATCAAGGGCACAACTTCTTTCAAATTAACAAAATTGGAATATCTCTGACTCCTATTAAATTGAACAAAATAATAATAAAAAAAAATGATGTGGCTGTCACTAATTAAAGCAATAATTAGTGAGATGTTGACCTATTTTAAAAGATTTATAGATTCTCATCTCTCTTCTGTAGAGGATTCTAAAGGCCAGTCAGAATAAATCATTTCCTTGAAAAGAGTGCCAAAACCCCAAAAGAAAATAGAAAAACCAGAGGGTTTTTCTTCTTTGAATTTCTTTTGCTCAATTTCAAGCAATTAAAATGTCAGATACCCTGCCTAAGTCAAACTGATGAAACCAATATAGGTTTCAGGTCACAAGTATTTAAGAAATACTTAGAAATCCTGACTTTTTAACCTGTCAGGTAAGAAGAAGGAAGTGTTAATTTTATCAGCAACAGTATAAAAACAAAATAACATACGTACCTGTTCAGACAGATCTTCTGCACTTATACGTTCACAAGCTTGGTTTTAGTAAGCTTGTCTTTTTAGCAAGACACACGCTTAAGACCAAGAGCAAGGTTTAAACACACGGAAGGAAGATTCAAAGCAGGTAGGACGCCCTACGTGTTTGGAAAGGAATTCCACCCTTCCCTACAAGAAGTCTTGATTTAGTCCCCAGCTGTGCTCAGGCCCCGCAGCTCCGCAGAGGGGTAAGAGCCCCGGTGTGCTCAGAGCCCCCCTGACTGCTGGGGTAGGGCAGACACTTTGGGACTGTTGAATCCACTCGGACTGAAGGTTCACACTGATCACATGAGTCACGGGTATGACCAAGGCCAGCGTTCACACTTTTGGTTTTGTGCACTCAATAAAATGCATCCAGGCGCTTCCTAATACTATATACGCACACAACAGAGCATGAATTCTGCATTAAGAGAAGAAAGGTGTAGTAATAGCAGAGGTGGCCCAGAAACTCTTATCCTGATCTGTGAAAAATGTAGGACTTTTGGAATATTATGTAAGAAAGAATAGAATGACTTCAAGGACTGGGAATAATAGAAACAGAATTAAATGTTGCGTGAGAATATGGAAGATCACACTCTGGAATTAATTAAACTGTTTCATGGTATAAGTTAGGACTATAAATGACTGGAGGCAGTGGGAGGAACAAGACTTGGGGTATCATTTGGTTGTATAATGTCTCTATGGCAGCTGTGTGATATACACCTGGAAAAAAAAAAAAAAAAAAAAAGGCCAGTGGGATGCTATTAGAGGAAATTATTTTATGCTATAACTCTAGGTGCTTAATTGGGAAGCTTATGTACAGTCTGGTCAGTCATGGGCAGGCAGAGGACTGCCAAAACAGCAAAGAGGATGAAGAACTTCCAGTCCATGAGGTGATCACAAGAACTTGCTTTGTCAGCTCAGCAAAGGGAAGTCAGAGGGGAGGTATGATGTCTCTGGGCAGGTACCTGAGAAGAAACAACACTGGAGTGGGCAAAGAAGTAGTTGCACTACAGGATGCTAGCACTAATGCTGTGTTGGAAAAAAAACCCCAACAACCTAATCTAAGTGTAAAGGGAGGTGAATTCATAAACAGACTTCTCATAAGACTGGTGGAGGGGGTATAAACTACTTTTAAGAGTGAGCAACTACATTTATTTACTAGGAAGATTATTCTGATCCTTTTTTTCTAGCATGTTGAAATCTCAAAAAAATTGAAAAAAGATACAGAACAGATTTATGCCTGGATCAAGCAAAATATTTCACATATATTTATGAGCTCTAAATCTATGACCATTCCAAAATAAAAGGTTATTTTGAAAGAGGGAATGAGAGAAAGAGAAAGAACAAGAGCTAGACAGCAATAGCAAGAGAGCAAGAGCAAGACAAAGAGAAAGAGAAAGAGAGAGGAAGAGACAGGGAAAGAAAGAGAGAGAACCAAAGGGAAAAAGAGAAAGGGAAATATTTTCAAATAAAAGAAAATGTTCACAGCAAGCTGTTTTAATCTATTAATTCAAGGTATTTTTGAGTCGGGTAATTCACAGAGAACGTACACTTTCACTGTTTGGTTTCAATGAATCAACATTTTTTCTTAAAAATATTATTTAAAATCCTAAATGCTCTGCTATACAAAAACCACTCTGTTCTTTGAAGTATTTCTTCAGTCATTATTCATATCTTGCATAATAAGCTAGACTTCAATATGTGAATAACATTGTAAGCTTACAGAAACAGAAAACTGAGGTATGTTATGGCTTTGTTAACATTGCTGGAAATAAATTCTTTCTTTATATTCTCTAAATCAAGGGATTCAAAAGCCTTCTCCTTTCTTCATTTTTCTGATTTTAAGCAAAGAGATAAGGAAAATGCAAAGATAATTTGTAGATTTTGTGGACTGACAGAACATTTAACAAGGTTTATAAGCTACTAACTGCAGGCAATCAAAGAACTGCAGTTCCTGGATTTTTATGATTAAACGCACGTCGCAGCTCAGATATATTGGTTTTGTCTGCATGGTTGTTTGCATGCGGGCATATATAGATTCAAAAATATGAATAACTAAATACACCCAGGTATCAACTATATTAATATTGATCCATTTTAAAACAATTAGCAGTTTGTAGAGGCATGCTGTATCATAATCAAGCTTCAGCAATATATAACCTTCATATAATATAAATGTTTTTATTTTCCCTCAATTTTGGAGACAAAGCAAGCATTGGAAAAGAAACTCACCTAAGGATGCAAAAGTCTGAGGAAACCTAAAATACAAGAAAACAAGAGGTTTCTTTTTATCATCTTAAACTACAAACACTGATGCCTTTCCAGATATAACACATAAGCCTACAAGATGATGGCTCTTCTATGGCTCATGTGTGGATGTGAAGAACCAAAGATGAAAGACTACCCAAGCTAATCTGCATGGAAACTGTGAAAGTGCCTGGAATACTAGGGGAATACAGAAGCCGAGTATTTATTAGGAAGAACGCAACTGGTCCTAAGTAGAAACAAGGATTGAGATTCAATACAAAGTTAAGCGAAGAGAAATAATTCTGCAACTTCAGAAGTTTGCACCACAATATGGAGAAGCACAGAAAGGAGACAAATAGTTCAAAGAGCAAGAGAACTGTGAAAATTACATACAAATGATTTTTAAATTTATAACACGCTTTCTTCAGTTGTATATGCTCATCCTTTTACGTTCAGCTTAACGTATTGTTGCAAGCAACTTTATTTCCAGCAAACATTAACATTTTGTGGGCAAACACAAAAAAATCACTAGATTTTTATGTCTCCACACGTATATGTTTTTGTTCAATTTTTTCAAGCACTCATCCTCTCAGAAAGTCAGAACAATTCTGCCAAGCAAGCAAGAACCACGGAGAGGTCTCAAGTGAATAAGAAATGCCTTCGAAGAGCCTTTTTCTGCTGAAAACGGAAACATCTGCTGAGCATGCCAGAGGAAGCTGTGTCTGTTGGATTCCTGACCGCAGCATATTTCTTCCTTGAACCACATGAAGTAACATGAAGGGCAGAGAAGATGGTGAGCGGAGATAAACCTTGAGACCTGGGACTGCAATTTCAGCCCAAAGCCTGCCCTGAAGGAGGGAATACAAGAGGCTGGTAAGGAATAGGAAGACAAATCCTTCCTTCTGCTTCTGTACGTCCAGACCTGGGATTTAGAAAGAGGAGTGCAGTAGCTGAATTCAGGCAGCAAAAGGCAATAACGACTCCTGTGAAACAAATTACAAATGTCAGAGATAAATCAGAACAGCTTTTTCAACGGAAGAGAAAGATGGCTGATCTTTTGAAATTCCTCTGAAAGATCCCTACAGAACGAGCAGTAGAAAGTTAGCTTTGAATCTGCTAGAATTATACAGAAACGTTAAATTATCGTGTTACATATGCACAAATTAATTAATGTAACACAAATCAATATAAGACACAAGAGTATTGCATATGTTCCCTGTTTGAAATTTTGCATTTCCCTACTGTGTGTCGGAGTTTGCATCCTATAGCACATGATTCCTACTTTTTCCTTAATTTTAGCAACTGTCCTATTAGGAGCCACCGCTCTTCTGGCTGAGAGCAACAAGATGGAGTTTTAACCATCAACTCTGATCAGCATCAGGAGTAAAGTTGGATGAAATGAACCTTCTACCCCTAGGTGAGATGGATTAGAGCTGAAATGCCTGAGCTGCTGTGCCCTCCTATCCCTACTGAGAGCCGACACATTTAGAAAGTCTTTGCAATGGGAGGGAGGGATTAGCAGACATCACACTAATGGATCACATTTCCTGAAGGTTCTAGAGAAAAAAAAATAAGGAGAGCTGCATAGGTTCTGGAGAGCTGATTTAGCAGAACTGAATATCCTACTTTTTCAGTTTGCTTAACAGTGAGAGAAAATCTAATGAAATAAGTATTCTTAACAGGGCCAAAAACTGTCTGAGCTCTTCTAAACAATCAGCTTCAGAAAAAATAAAACCCTGAAAAACACTCAGCAAGAACTTAAGAATATGACTAAGATGAATAAGGAGAAAATACTTGACACTCTTTACTTAGAAGTCTTCTATATTCTGGCTTCTGACTATGAATTATTTAAAAGTTGTTTGGAAAACATCACCACTTATGGGAAAAATCTGCATCTCTAAAGAGATCACAGCTTTGTGGACAGGATCCTAATTTATTATTTCAGTATACCATCCCAGGGGTGCCCAGCTACTGAAACAAGAAAAAGTAATTTTAAGAAGTTTATTTACTCAGTTTTCTTTTTTTTCCTTCCGAATATGATGCAATAGGCTTGACTACCCTTCCTCCAGAGAGCTCCCCAGAGGGCTTGTGAAGCCAGCACAGCACGGGGGGCCTGCACCACCACTCCTGCAGCCTCAGACGCAGCAATTGCCAGACAACTGGCCTCTAAATTCAACAACATTTATAAACCTAATGGCTGGTTCTCGCCATGAAGAACTCCAGAATTGGTCACCTGTTGGTAAGTTCACATTTCAGTGCTGATACTCAGTCTAGGCTTCAGTGACTACCTATCTAAAGCTCTGGAGATCGGCCTACCCTGGCAGGAGTGGATAAGCGTATGGATCTATACGTCGCACAGCCCTTCAGCAGGCTGTGTCCCCAGTGCTGGGGGCTGGGAACCACTAGTTCAGCTTATTTAAGTTCCAGCTAATGTTTCTCAGTTCCTGGTGTAAGAAAGCCGTGACCACCGCAGTACTGATTATTACAGAAGCTCTCTCACTGGAAATTATTAAGAGGAAACAGGACCGAGTATGTCTGCAATTCAAGCACTGGCAGGACAGAGGAGCAACATTACAGACATTGCATTTTCAGGATCTAATGCGTGTGATTCTCTCCGCTGCTCTCTACTACTTACATGGTGCAACTCTGTTTATAGCAGAGTAGGGCCAGTAGAGATTGTTTAATCAGGACAGTCTGATGTATGGGCAATTATCCAAAGCCACACGTTTTCTAAATTCTGTATGGGCAGAGATGGAGCTTAAGAGCTCTGTAGGGATCAAAGCTGCTAACGAATTTCTAAGGAGGGCTCTGGGGACTGGGATGTGCATAATGAGAAAATCTGGATATTCAGTGTGAAGAACTCTCCCAAATTAGCTGCAGTCTATGTAAATTAAATTTGTAGCTAATGCTTATCACTACGCAGTCCACTTCAGAACAGGGATAAATTGGGTAGCCTGTGATTTTTCTTGTTTTTTGTTATTAGTGTGGCTGAAAGTGGTTTAGAGAAGGGAGACCTGGAAAACTTGGTCAAGCACATTGTTGGAAAGTACTATTATACAGCCAAATTTTCCTGTCAGCTCCCACCTCTTCAGGCTACAGCCTCATGTCTGCAGGCTACACGCTTATTTATTCCCATGTGTTACATTCGGACATCACAGGCACATAGAGTGTATACATGTACATATATGTGTGTGTATATATATACAGTGTCTGTATATATATACACACATACACACACACGTATACACATACATATATATATGCACACACATACACATATATACACACACACATACACACATGTATATACACACATACATTTATAATGCATCTACTAAAACAAAGGGATCTACAGAACCTTTAAAATACAGGATTTATAAAAGAAGAAGAGAAAAGAATCTTCCAAAATACTTCATTCTATGTTTTCTTCTATTGTTCCTTCCACCTCATCAAAAGTGCTTCCACTATCTTTAACTTACTAAAGTCTGAAGACATCTTTGATGTTTACCTTTAATTCTAATCCAGTTCCTTTGTTACTGAATCATTTCAGAGAAAGATCTCTGTTCAGGAAAGCACTTAAACATACACTTAAGCACATTCTTAAATGTAAGTAAATGTCTTCTTGAATCGGCCTAATAATACTAATAATAGTATTCATAAACACTCCTTAATAAACAATTCCATTCGATATGCCTTCACAGTGTAGTGCTGCTCTCGTATTCTTTGACACATTTCTTCTTTTTACCACTAAGATGACAAATAGTAGGCTATGGAAAGATGGCTCCACATATTTGATAGTCAAGGCGTAAGATGGCTTTGAAGAGCCTCATTTTCAGAAGCACACCACTTCAGAAAATCAGGTTCACAATGAAAGAGTCATCTTCTGAGTACTCTACATCAGTAATTATTTTGGAAAACTTGACCTACTCTTCCAGGCAAACCATTATATCCATAGCAGCATACAACTTGGCTTCCAGTTTGCTGCTACGGTTTTGCAACCATTGATTGTCTTGTGAGTAGTTGCTGGAACTGATCACAACTGGTATGTGCATAGGAGTACGCACACACGTCTGTGTGTGTATGAGGCACACACCCGGGTTTGCCCTTGCAAAGTGTCCTCCCTTCCCTCGAGGCTCAGACAGACAAGGCTCCCTGAGTGTAACAGAGATGTTCCTAAAACTCTCCACCACTTGCCCTTCTTTTCTGCAAAAAGCATCTATGTTAGATTCAAGAATGGGATAAATTCTGTGACCAAGCACTTCAGCAGCAGTACAGCGGAGGGGCTGTGGAAATGGTCCGGTCCATGGCCAGTCCATCACTGGAGGACGACCATCACCACCAGCCTCGCAGCCTGATCCCCTCCTCAACAATCCTAGGTGTGCTCCAGCACAGTCCTAGATATTATTCTCTTCCTGACAGCAGCAGGATGAGGGCATTTCCACTTTCACCATCAGTGCTCCCAGCCATGCCCTCCCTCCCTTCCACTGTGCTCTCAGCTCTAGAGCTGCAATGGGAATCTCCTGCTTGAGAGCCCACTCATAACTTGCAGGGTTCTTGTGAAACCCGGGAATTTTCCTCCTATGGTCAGCAAAGAGTACCAGAACAAGCTGAACTTGCATAGGGACAAGGGCAAAATCACAAAGATGGAATCAGCAACAGGGAACAGTGAGAGGAGGATGGGGAGAAAGCCAACACACTGTCACTGAGAAAAGGCACATAGGACTTTATATTAAAGCTTGATAGCTGGTCACACTTTACAATGGCCCAGGAACTGTCTGTAAGCTCCTAAGTGGCATAATTTAACAAATGCCCTAAAGAACGGGCTTAGTTCAGAAGCACTCAAAATAAAAAAGATCTAAATGCATTTGTTATGTAAATCTAACCAGCTCTACTTGACACACAAAAGGGTTTTATCCTCTTTTTAGATTTTTAGCTTTATGATGGCAGTGGAGATCTTAGGGACATCCTTAGGCAACTTCAGAACTCCCCATTTGGCATAAACATGCCAGCTTAATAAAGTGGGGCTGGCTAGAAAGTTTGTGGTTTTGTCTTTTTTTTTTTTTAAAAAAAAAAAAAAGTGCTCAGATTTCCAAATTCATGTTTGTTTCATATCAGAGGAAAAAATTACACTTCTCATACGTTACTCGGGGGGGAGGGAGTGAGCCACCATACACATGTACATGCACCCAAGAGACCACCTTAGTCCTGCCACATCTTGCTACTACAGTTTTCTCAAACCCAACACAGCCCCTCTCAGAAGTGAGAAAAGAAAGATGCCATTGCAAGCCATGGTTAGCCTGGTGTTGCAGCTACTCATGTAGTCTCTCCCTCTACCAGGACAGTATTTGACAAGTCATTGCCTCTTGAGAAACCGCATTTAGTTTGTGGCACTGCCACAGAAGTAGACTGAAAACACAGCCCTTCTACTAACACACCAATAAAAATCCCAAGCTAAAAATGTTAAAGGTGACATTGATCCAATATTCCTCCTACACACATGAAACCTAAAATTGCCATAAGGACTGCTCCTAATTAAAGTTCCATTAAATGGGCCGTTACAATAAATAAGCAAATTACTTCTTAGAACCACAGCACACGGTTTCAGTCAGAATAAGGTAGAAGGCATGACTTACATCAGGCAGAGTTTCAAGCCTGTTATCAAAACTATCAATCATGTCGTGTCTAACAAGAATCCTGCAACATTATAATTTAAGCAAACATAAATATAGTTACAAGGAATGAAGATTGGTTTTAAATTGTCTTTGTTATGCAGAAGAAAGTTTGCTTTCATGTACTTGTATGCATCTCTACTGACTTCTGGGAAGTCTGCTGGAAGATGTGAACAAGATAAAAGCTGTCTGGAGCAACCTGAGCTAACCAAAGCCCTGTCTGAATGCCATGGGTCTACCCCCTACTTCTTTCGGTCTCAGACAGACAGGAAAAAAACAATATTTCTCTCTTACCTTCATGAGCCTCTGAGCTGGATTTAAGATCCTCAATCAAAATCAGAGACAATTCATGCCTCAGAAATGCTATTCAGCTTTACTGCGGTGCTGGCAAACCTCCTCAGACGAAGACATCAGCTTTAGCTATCCCTTATATCAACAATGCCTAGATAATCTTATACAAAACCACTAAAATCTGTCTATCAGGTATGGTGAGAACATATAGGTTTGTAGGCACTACAGATTTACAGTGCTTATGCATGGGGGCTACTCGCATTCTCTGGAGCATAGTTTCTGAGGAGAAAAAGTAAGACAGACTGCCTCCTGCTATGGTGCTGAGATCACTTTCACATACAGGCCAATAAAACTTGAGCAGCACTTTACAGCATTACCCTTAGTTTCCCCGCATTGACTCCTTGGTTTTGTGCATGGGAATGCAGGCCTAGGTTTTGTCTGTGATTGGCTTATAGAACATGTATAGACTGTGATGCCTTATAGAGCATCAACTCCTCGCTGGCTACCGATGAGAAGTGCTGCTTTCTAGCCAACCCCCTCAGAGTCCTGCAGTTTACCATAGCATGTGTCAATAGAATAACGATGTCAAATGTTTCCTCTGAAAAAGTGGAAAATGACTCATGAAACAGCCTGGGCACACACTGTAACTGTTCTTTTGAATCTCAGCTGTAGAAGATCTTCAAGGCCAAGGTCCCTCCCTGCTAGGCACTGCGTGAGTGGGCTACACTCAAGGGTCTCTTGACTACTAACCCTAGATAAAAAAACAGATACATACTAAAGCTGTGATGAGCTGAAGGAAATTATGGCAAGTAGCAATCACAACCCAGTACGTTCATAATCCTTGGAAGGTTTCTTGGAGATGTCAAGGACAGTATGTGCCCTCTTGCTTGTGTGTCCAAGTAACAGATCCTCTAGATCGGTGGGATTTCGGTGCAGGAGAGCAAGTGGAGCAGATAAAGTGGTCTTGCACTGCTCACCAACTTCTCATCCCTTCTTGATGAAACCAATTCACTTCCAGCCCTCTTCTTCTTACTTTTCTACCTGTTGACTTCTGATTCAAATATCTACTTGGGCATCTAGCTGCACGTACGGGAAATTCCTGTGCGTAATATTCCCAGGTTGTGATAGTTGCTATTTTTAAGAATAAAAGGAAGCATAAACACCCTTTTAAAAACAAACAATCAAACAAACAAAAACAAACATAAAAATAAAATAAAACCCAGGATTCAATCCAGCACACTCAGTTTCTATCGGCGCTTGGATTACAGAGTCTCAGCTGAAGGAAACCAGTGACAGTCAGGCAGGAACTGAACTTGTAACTCCTTTCCTTACTCTCCAAAGTGGTTACCCCATTTAATTTAGCTTGACAAGCCCCACATTTGTTAACCTGAATGATTCTTGGCATGGCTTATCCTTTCTCAGGGAGAAAAAGAGGGATGATGGAGATGGAGTTGGCAGCAGAGTGGAGAGCTGGGAAGGCTTTCCCAGGCCGATACCCTAGGACAAACCATCACACTGCAGAGAGCACCATGGACGTGAGCTTCTAAGACACTTTATAAGGAACCTAGAGCCAAGGGAGATGCTTTGCTTTGAAGGGTGAAACAAAACCAATTAAGTATGGCAATTCTTGTAAAATTAGAACAAATTAAAAATGCTCAGTGTCGTAACTTGCAGGATGATTGTGAAATCGTAATTTTCCTGAGAGGTAAAGCGAACACCCTCCGCTCAGTTCTGCAGTTTAACATCATTTGCATAAAAGGACAGAGATATTCATCTTACTTAGACTTGGTTCCCTACAAGGAGAAATTCATCCACCTACCTACCTCTTGGGGATGAGCCTCCTCCCAGAGGTGCCTGTCTCTCTCTGTCCGCCCTAGACGAGGTCCAGCTCAGGCTGAAGGGTTTCCAGGCAGTTCAAGTCTGGCAAGGTGGATCTCCGGTTTCCCTAACCCCCATTCCCAGGGTCACATTCCGGTCTAAAAACTGCAAGATTCAGGGCCATTGTACCGGGCACAAACATAGGAAGAAACTTTTTGATTCCAGGGCCAGAGGCTTAGTAGGTCTTCTAGCACAGTTTCTGAGCTGACAGTGCTGTCTTTGCTGCTTTAACGACTTTTATGGAGATGTGGTCTCTGCAGCTACTGATAGGACAAACCCAATTTTCTTGGTCTTGCATTCACAGCACTTCCTTTAGAGGAATTATGTCTTTTTCTGGTTTAAACAAATAAAATAATATTTGGGCTATATGTTTCAGATGATTAAAACACAGTCACTTGTGATACTGCTTATTCCCTGCAACAGGGAGTGAATTTTTCAGATTATGCACGTAGCCAAAAGCCCATAAATTTTGTCATTCATATCCATAAGCAGCATGGCAAGTTCGCAAAAGCTATTACGTTTCAGTTACACAAGTGTGTTAAATTACTCAGTCAACTGACATCTGGCATGAACTATAAATTGCTCTCAAAATTCTTTTAGAAAGATTATTATATTATTATTAATTTGCTGTGTATGTCAAAGCATATCACACACACAGCAATCCTGAAATTAATTAGCATTTTCAAGGATCACAGTGAAAAGGCCCACAAAGCCAGCAGAAATAATTTCTAAGATACTAGTAGGTTAAGCAGTGCTGGCACAACTTGCTTTCAACATGTTTTCTTCAATCCATCTTTAAGAATAAAACACAAGAAACTTTCTTTAAACAATCTCTTTGTTGCATATCCTCAGATATTACAAATCAGGCTCAGGGGCTAAGATTTCATTTGCAATTTATATTCACTAAAAACAAAGCATTTAGAAAAATGACAGTGCTTTTTCCTCATTTTCTAGCAATTCAAAGCCACCCTGATAAGCTACTGAGTTAAATAAAGGAGCACAGAGAACAGCTTAACTATTTAATCATAATTTTGAACACAGGACTCCTTTCTGGGTTTACTGTGGTCCTTCATTCAAAATACCTAGATAGGAAAGCTCAGTAATATTTCAATAAAACTATCATTCAGTAAAATTTCATTCAATATAATTTAAAATAAAAAATATTCAGAGCATAAAAAGCAAGGTTAAATTCAACAATCTTTTTATAAACATGCTTAATTTTCAGCACGTGAGTAGGCCTGCTGGAATCCTGTTGAAACTTTTTTGACTGCTTATTATAATTTTTTCCCTACAACTAGAGTGACATTTCACCCCAAGCCTCTCAGCTGAAAGAGTCAGACACTCGAAGAAGTTTGAGTGTGCCAGAATCGCAGTTGTCCGGGAAGCCTCATTCCATCCTCTTTGTGGTACGGCAGCAGAGCCACGGAAGTCGCACATGAAATCCTTTTCCCACCCCTGACTGCAGCAGGCAGCTCAGACAGCAGGAGTGAAAGTAATGCAGGAAACCCAAATTTGGTAATTCCTGTTTCCGGGATCTGGGACTTTGCAAATTGCCTCAAATGTATTTAGCAGTGCTCCTGGGATATGTTCTAGAAAGGAGGTGCTGGGTGCCCACTCACCAAGTTGTTAGATGCTTCGTAGCATTTACCACCCGTCTCTGTGTACGACTGAGTACAATTTTTCATGAATATAGAAAACATAACCTTTGAATAAATAAAGGTTTCTTTACTCTCTTCTACCCAGCAACTAAAAGTTTCATTTCCAGAAATATCATATTTGAGGGTTTACTATCACAACACCAAAAAAGTATGAGAGTTAGTAAGTGATGTCAGCTTGCAGAATGGAAGCACCACCATCAAGATCTCTGTACTCTGAGGTTGTTTTTCAAAGTTAGGGAGATGTGAACTAATCTCTCAATGGTTCCCCACAGTCATTGCTTTGGATTTAAAAGAGGAATGATGACAAGCCTAGGACTGGAGTGAAAAAAAGCCTTCAATACCGGCATAACACAGCATAACTCATGCAGAAACACCAGCCTGGGTCTCTAGAAAGTCCAAGACCGTTCCATAAAAGTGAAACAACAAAGAAAAAAAAAAAAATAATTTCTCTGAACAGCCAGTAGTGCAAAACACAAGTGGTACAGGCAACCAGATGCTCACGCTGCCTGTGTGTGTATGGAAACCAGAAGCTTTTCATTACTGCTGGGTTTATAAATATCATCTACTTGAGGCAAACGCAGGTATCTAAACTGGAGGCATTCAGTTTGCCCTATGGGTCACTCTCTCTCTCAGCTGACACTACAGTGAATTTAGGCTATGTTTAAATTAACACATGTCACAGCCCGATAGGCGTGGATCCATACAGTGAAACAGTTGGAGCCGAGAGCATCCCCACCGAAAGTTTGTGTGTGCCTGTGGGGGGAGTTTTCTTCAATCTAGTCTCTAATCATTGCCGGAGGTCAGAATAATTTAACCGTTGTAGCAGATAATGCGTGTTTGGTGAGTGAGTTTGTCTTCTGTGCTTCTTCCGTAAGGATTTCTTCATCTCGTCCTAAAGAAAACCAGTTTGTGTGCCCTAAGAGCACCCGGTGGTGTGTACCAAAACACGCCAAGGTCGTAATATCACTCCTGATCCAGACTAGAACGCTGGAACAGAGGTTCCTGTCACGCAGACTGTCAGAAGCCCACGAGCAGAAGAGGAATCATTTCGGCGTTATGAACCTTCTATCCTCCGAATCGTGTGTAACCAAGCAGCCCAGCGCAGTCTAAACCAGCTGCTGCGCCCGTCCGCACCTTTGCGATGGGGGGGGGGGGGGGGCGGAATGAAAGCTGATTTCGTTCTTCTGGAAGTTTTTGACACTTCGCTCTCACGCACAGCTCCAGCTCTCCGCCTGCCCGGTGAAACGAGCTCCCTCCGGGCACGGTGGGCTCCGGCTCTCGGTCGCCCAGCGCTGCCGGCGGGGTGGCTGGAAGAGCCCCGGGGGCTAACGGGGCAGCGCTCGCCGGCGCCGGTGTCACGGAGCGGGGGGGCTGCCTGCCGCCCCCAGCCCCGCTCCCAGCCCGGTCGCATGGTGCCATCTAGTGACCGGTGGGCGGGCCGCCACCCACCGCCGCGGCGCCCACGGGGCACGGCACCCACCGCCGCGGCGCCCACGGGGCACGGCACCCACCGCCGCGGCGCCCACTTGGCACGGCACCCACCGCCGCGGCGCCCACTTGGCACGGCACCCACGGGGCACGGCACCCACCGCACCGGCCCTGCCTTTCTAGGTCTCCCCCCTCCACCCCCTCCCACGTCCCAGCCCTCCACGCCCCCGCAGCTACTGCTGGGAGGGAAACCCACGCAATGGCACCCCCAAAATCAGGCAGCGAACAAGACATGTAAGTAAAACCGGGAAAATGAAAACGGAAGGCCCCCAATCTACCTTTATCTCCCTGAAAACATAGATGCAAACATTCCCCAGAAACTAGACGGCGGGGGAGGAGAGCGAAACCCTGTATGGTATTTGGCTTCTAGATAATGTGATCAGTTAGCAGTCCCAGAAATACCCTAGTGCCAAGGCTAACCAGACTCAGAACAATTACAAATTACAAATGGGAAATTACAAATAATTTAAAAAATTACAAATCAATACGACCCAGGATGGAAGCGTGGGATACTTCAGGTGGTGGTGGTGGTGCAGGCAAGGGTAACGGCGAGGTTTACGTTTATACAGCTCTGGTTATGACAGTTAGTTTCTCATAGAGACAAACTGTCCAAGACAAGTTTTTCTTGCTGGAGCTCATGAACGCTTCAGTGCTCTGCGAAGTGGTACAGAAGCCAAAGTACAGTCAAGCAAAATATCCAAAACCTGTGAGTAATGCACCTGATATTAGCCTAAAAGTAAGGCAACGTTAATCGAGTGGGGAGGGTTGTTTATCAACTGTCTGGCTTTTTATGCCTATAGGATTTACATTTTCAAGCCACAATTCAAATGTTTATTTACCTTTAAGTGAAGTGTTTGATTCTTATATAGTCAAGTGATGTCAGGTGCTGGGGCTTTTTAACAGGAAAAAAAAAAAAAAAAAAACAAACAAAAAACCTTCATAATCATGAAATCAGAAGACTTTGTAATACTCAGTTTGACTTAAAAGATCAGGAATAGGGCAATCAAGTTAGTCTGCCCTTTTATAGGAGTTTAAAATTATCCATCTGTGGTCCCACACATTCTGGAAAGCCTTTCAACTTGTTCTTCCATAAGTACCAAAATAGCCACACTTCAGAGTAGCTTTCAATGAAGTTTACAGCATTTCTCTATTTGTCTGACTGTCAGCAGGCAGTATTCATCCAGCAGCAGGCAAATACATTAAGAGAAGAAGGCAAAATTAGAGAGTCATGGAGAATTGAGAACTCAGCAGCTGTTTCCCCTTGAATTATCTACTTAGGAGTCCCTTCTCTGCATGCTTGACATGGGAACAAAAGAGGCTGCCGTCCCTCCTCCCAGCCGTGGCTGACAACCTATGACAGACTATCTGGCAAGCTGCAGATCCATTACTGGCTTACTGGGAAGGCTCAGGAGACAACTATGATGCCACTTCCAGGCAGGGCCCTACACCTGCTGAAAAGATGGATAATTCCCATTCGGGCTCCTTGGTGAAATGCCCTCTTGAGGTTTCTGTATGTTTTATTTAGTATTTTCACGTCAAGTTGCTCAAGTGACTGTACAAGGACATGAAGCATGTCTCTATCTCTTGAGGGACACATCTCCTGAGATCACCATTCAGGGCCCTTCAAGCTGTCCTGTCTTTCATATACAGCTCATCTCTCGGCTGGTGATGAAGGGTAACCCCTTTTGGCACTTTCTTCATCTGATCTGGACAACCCTGGAGTACGCATGAGTTAACTTCCTGCGGCTCTACGTCCTGATTGACGCTTTGTTGCACCAACTGGATCCTCCCCTTGAGATCTGAAAGCCTTGTCACATGCTGACAGACCCTACCGTTCCACAGAGTAACTTGAGTTTTATTCTGAAAAAGATACTTTGTCTTGGCCAACATAATTAACACGAGCAACGGCCTTTCTGGGTAAAACTCTAATATTCAAAGTTCTTCCAAAGTTGCAAAGGTATTCAAAGTCATTTTCAGTTCTTAGCTTTGAAATTGGAAGAAAATCCTTTTATGTGAAATGTTATTTTGTTGTTTGTAAGACCTGCTTTGTAAGAACATAAAGAAAAGTGGACTAAGCTCTACTCATTAAGGCTGCTCAAGGAGAACCATTCACTTGAGAAGACAAGGGCAACAACACAAAGCGTGAAAACATCCATCATTAGAAACCAGAGAAGATTACAGAGTTCACAGAAACCACCAATTATTCCAAAAAATAAGGCAAACTAGGACTGCTTTTTCACTTTTAACTATCTGACAGGCTTGCATGCAGAAAATAAAGGCACAGTTTGCATGGTATAGCTCACTTGGCCCAGTGATGGTGCCTGGCCTCTGCAGCAGAAATGACAGAATTTGACTGGGAACATGAGTAGAAGACATCTTCCCCGGCTGCCCACAGGACGACAGTGCTGGTCATGCAGATAGCCAAGAACCTGACAGTAAAACAGCCTGCAAAGAGCCACTACCTGGCAAAGTTGGGCTACTGTCGCATTCACAGATGAACAGCTGATAGAATAGCAAGTGATGTGCCAGAGAATAAGGATTCTGCATCTCCAGATACATTTACACCCAGAAGAGCAGAGAAAAAGCAGACAAGAGCAAAGCAAACTAAGCAGACAGCCTACACTAACTATGACCCAGGAGAAGTACACTCAGGTGAGTGGCTTTAAGTGCAGCCACATAGTCATACAAAACAATTGCACATTAATATTAGTCCCCCAAGCTTTTTGTTATTACTGTTTTAAAGGGTTTCAACCTTGCCACCAGGGATTCAGAAGGATAAGTCAAGTATGTAGCCCTAAGTTTCCAGCAGTATTTCTGATTTTGGCTTGCTCCACTTTTAGATATTTTTATATGAGGACCTGATAAGGTCTTGAGCACCGTTGGACTCAACAGAAAAAAGACCCGAGTCAAAAAAAATTACTGTGGATATATATATATATATATATATATATATATATATATTCACCATCACAGATGACTTAAGTTATTTGTGCTCACAATTACCTCAGCACTAAACTGTGCTGAGAAGAATTGGCGGCAATGTTTAAACATCCTGAAACATACACTCCCAGCAAATGAGCCCGCTTAAACTCTTTCTACCCAATTCAAGTCCAGGTGATTAATTATAATTAAAA